GACTCCAACCTCAGACATAAATAAGCAAGTCACTTCATGTCTCTGGGCCTTAGCTATCTCATATGTAAAATAAGGGTATTGCATTTAGTGACCTCTAAAATCTCTACCAACTTGAAAATCAGTGAACATATCCATGCCATGATCAATAATTATGAATCATAGAGCACCAATCCTGGAGTCAGGAGGACCTGACTTCAAATTCATTCTTGAACACTTACTAGCTGCATTATCCTGGACAAGTCACTTAACTCTAATTGTCTCCCAAAAATTAAAAATACTTATGAATCTTCTCTTCCTTTCCACCACCGCTTTCAAGTTTTGCAGAGAAGCTAGAGTTTTATTCATCTTCCTACATATAACTGTTGTGCTATTCATAATATTAATGGTAGGCAAACTTTCTGTTTTGCCTTTGACCCAATGTTTGCTTTTCTTATGCTAGATTTCTCAAGACCGTATATAAGACCAGAAATCTTCCACATTCTCTTTCTTCAGGAGATTTTTTTTCTCTCCTTGAATTTCTTTGTTTCTCAAGCCCCCACAGTGTAGTTTTTGATCAATATTGAACTTCTTGTTTTGCTCATTATACTACTTTAACTTCCTGAATAACTTTAATCTTTTGGCTTTCACTTTCTTTTTTTAATTTTTATTTTCTTTTTTATTAATTTATTTTGATTGATCAACAATCACTTACATAAGCTTTTGAGTTTTAAATTTTTCTCCCCCTCCTTTCCCCCTCCCCAAGATGGTGTGCAATCTGATATAGGCTTTACATATACATTCCTATTAAACGTATTTTCATGTTAGTGATGTTGTAAGGAAAAATTAGAACCAATAGGAGGAACCACCAGAAAGAGGAAACAAAACACAACAGAAGGAAAAAAATAGCAAATAGTATGCTTCAATATGCATTCAAACTCCACAGTTCTTTCTTTGGATATGGTTAGCGTTTTACATCATGAGATCTTTGGAGATGTCTTAAATCCTTGCATTGCTGAAAAGGGCTAAGTCTATCAACATTAGTCAGTGTACAACAGGGCTGTTACTGTGTACAACATTCTCTTGGTTATGCTCACTTCACTCAGCATCAGTCCATACAAGTCTTTCCAGGTTTTTCTGAAGTCTGCCTGCTCATCATTTCTTATAGCACAATAGTATTCCATTACATTCATATACCACAACTTGTTCATTGGCTTTCACTTTCAATAGTTGATAAAGAGTATCAAGAATTTCTGACATACTTTGGTTTTCTTTAATTCCTATGGTTCTTTTTTGTTTCCTTTAAGCAAGAGATCTGATGTTTACATTGTTTACTATACATACTGGCTAGATCTTCATATTTTGATGTCTTTTCTCAGTCTTTAAAGGTTTTCTCAAGTCATTTCTGCCATGGTGGCATTTGACACCTGTCCTTAGGAGTATTCTTCAATAGATCCACCTTTCTTCCTGTGGTCCTAACCACAGCAAAAGTCACAGCAGGCACCAAGCAGGCAACATGCATTTATTAAGCACTTACTATGTGCCAGGCACTGGGGACCCAAATACAATCAGGAAGAAAGAACCCCTGCTCTCTATTAGCTTTTATTCCAATAGGGGGAGACAACACATAAAAGGGAGCTAAAGAGGGTGGAGGTGGAAAGAGAAGTTACCCACATGGGAGCATGGTGGCCACATCTAGGAGAGTCAGAAGTATAAGTAGGAGGAGAATAAAACATGGTCAGTCTGGGTCAGTCCCCAAAATGGAGGCTCCTGGAAGGAACTCAGCAGTGGCAGAAAGGAACCACTATGGCAGAGGAAATGTTCCAAAGCAAGAAAGGCCTAGATACTGAGATAAATTCCAAGATAAACTCATATTGCATTCAGATCACGAAATGTTTTTTTACCATCTTTGTCAAATGTTGTGGGAGAATGTGTTTGCTCATCTTTTCAAAATCATTAGAGATATTGTCATAGTTTTTCATTATTCACTGTAATATTAAGTGCATGCTTGAAGTTTAAGTATAGCTTCCTAATACCTTCAGATTCTTTGGCCTTTCACTCTTCAAATTTAAGTTAACTCCTTAACTTTTGGTCTTATTTCATCAAGTCTGGATTTAGGGACAAGGTTATTCCATATGATTGTCCAGCAATGATCTGTAATATGTTGTTGTGGAATTTGGAGCTGAAGATATCCTTGACAAAAAGCAATATCAAGGCTTCTTGACCTGCTACCACCTGGGCAGTTATGCTGTAGTATTGGCACATAATAAGAACATTCAGTTAATTTCATCTTGCACTCGTGGTTTTCCCACTTTAGTGGTCAGTGCCATCTGTACTAAAGCATTTCCATCAGACATGATAATGGTATTTCTGATTTGTATACGTCACCTTTCTGTGGTACCAGAACATGAAGGAGCACCACTTGTCTTCTGTGTTCTGTGTCAGACTAATCATTCTTCAATCTTATGCTGCCCTGTCTGTCTCTTAATCTTATAGAAGTTCATCCCCTGTCCATGGTACTAATCAATCAATCAATGACCAGGCCTTTTCACTGCTACTGTGGCTATCTCAAAGTTTTTACTATACATTGCCCCAACTGACATTGTCTTCTCCATTGTTCTTCTCCCAACACCTCTCCTCCCTGCTGCATCACAACATGGACAATGGATTGAATGTTGAGAGGGTTCATCATCATCTTCTTCTTCATCACCATCTTCATTGTCATCATCTTCATCCTCCTCATTATCATCTTCACCAAGCGACCCACCCACTGGTGATTAAACTGCTCTATATTTAACTAGGCTGATCTTAGAAGTGGATATAGTCTGCTGCTGAGACCATACTCTAAGGCTTTCCAATAACCTGGCAGAATTCATACTCTGCTGACATTGCCTTTGAAACCCCAAGGTCTTCTCTACACTAAGATAAGGCATTAAATCTTATTGGGATTAAACCCATTACAGATTTTCTAGGTGGGTGATCAGCCAAGCAATGTTGCAGTGTGGTTTTGCAATGTTCCAGCAGAGTCTGGTCATAATTTATTATCTGCTTTCTTGTAAAACAACATTGGTCAGGGCAGTATTATATAAGGAATAATTGCCCTGGTATTGTAAAGGGAATTTGAGTGGGGTTTACAAATCCATTTTGTTTCCCCTTTATCGGTTCCCCAGGTCAACCTCATTAAATGTACATTCAACCTGTGCAAACACACTTCCTTTTATAGTAAATGAATTATTTCCATGTGAACTTGACACAATCCCTGACACTTGTCTTTTTTCCCTTAACAGTCTTATTTGGGGACTAGCCTACATGGATTAAGTCAACTTTCTTTCCTAAGTGCTATTTTTCTCATGATGCTTGCTTGTACACAAGTGTCTCTCCCTAGTTTTGTCTTCCTTTCTTCTCACCTTTGCTCCTACTATCTCCATGGCTTAGCTCCACTGAAGCGGAAAGGAAGAAGGCAGAAGGAGGCCTAGTCCAATTTTTGAAGAGTAAAACTTTCCCAGAAGTGAAGGTAAAATGCACATTTGAGTGCTTGTAGTTTCATTACCAGCGCTAAAGATATAAGCAGCAAATGAACAAGAACGCTCCAGGAAAAAGAGTTATTCAGAGCAGCTGTCTTGGACCATATTTTGGGCCACTCCCCAAAAAAACACAGTGTTCCTCCTCCCGGCTGAGGCATCTCCCTCTCCTCCCTCCATTCCCACAGCACTAATAATCATTACAATATCTGGCTCTGAGTAGTTTTGGATTTTCATGATACCATTAACTTGAGGGTCACTATTAGTGTTTTATGGGGAAGGAAAAAAAGGTAACTAAATGGAGCAGAGGATAAAGCACTCAACATGAGTCTAGAAGACTTGGCTGTGTGATCCTGGACAAGTTACTTGACCTCTGTCTGCCTCAGTATTCTCATTTGTAAAAGGAGGGTGATAATAGCACCTGCCGGTCAAGGTTGTTCTAAAGATTGAAGGAGATAATATTCATAAAAAGGTTGCAAAAGTTAAAGCACTATATAAATGCCAGCTATTATTCATATCTCCTCAATTCTCAGTGGTGAGAAAATTCAAGAAAGTTAAAGTGAGGTTCATTCTCCAAGCAAAATTAGTTTATTAACAGCGACACGTATAACTGGTAACAAAGTGTGTCACTCTGGCAACCTCAGCAAAGCCAGTGACCCCAGTTAGAAGAGGGAACCCTCTTTATTGTCAAGCAGGAAAGAAGAGGATCTGGGTAGTCTGGGACATTACAATTGCCTGCTCTGAGAAAAGTGAGTTAGTATTCAGGTGTAGCTGATCACACCCCTCTCTGACAACTAAGTAACGTTCATTATTTTATGGGACTCATCTGCTTCTTGTAATCTTGGCTAGAAAATCAGAACTACCCAGTTAGGTGTCCCCCTTTGGGGAGATCAAACCACCCCTAATTGCATAAGGACAGGCAAGGATAGACAACTTAGCTTTTGGGGGGAGGTGATGAATGGCATCAGGTTAAGCTGGTTGTCTTACAGACAACAAGCAGACATCTCAGAAGGTAATTGCATGAGTGATAACATTTCCTTTCAACCACACCTTTAAGTCAATTTGGACTAGAAAAGGCTTTATTCTTGAGCTTAACTGAGAAGTGTGGCTTAACAAAATGGAGAATGAGATCAATTACAAAATAGAATCAATTTTCAAATGATACAAAATAATTTTAATTTTGTTCCCCTCTCCCCCTTTGATTCACTGAGAAGTACTTCCTCAATGAATCAACTCCCTGCCCCTGGGGCTCTTCCCTCTCTCTGATTGGAGAGGATGGAGGGTGGACATTGGACAGCACCTCCCCCCCCCCCCCCCGCCCATCCTACATCTAAGGAAGATGCCCAGGGCAGCCATTTTATCATTTCTCACTTGGCTGCAGGACTTCATTATGACCCACAGGTATCCTCTCTTTTTCAGTACCTTCTTATGTTTTCTTCCCCATTAAATAATGAGCTCCTAAGGTCAGGGACTATATTTTGCCATTCTTTGTATTTCCATGCTTAGCACAAAGCCTGGCATGTAGTAGGTGCTTAATAAATTTTTATTAACCAATTGTCGCTATTATAGAAAGCTATTTTTTCCCATCAAATGTGCATTTCAGAAAGCCTTGTTGAATTCTTGAGCGTGATCACTTTCTTCTTCCTTTTAAAACAAAATTTAAAAAAGCTTGATTTACAAAAATGCAATTTATATTATGCTTCTTTTTTTTTAGTATACACCTAGTACAGGAAACAAAACAGACCTCTTCTGGCATTCTGGCATGAAATTTGACCAGACTAACTGGACTCGGATTACCTTTCCAGCCCAGACATGGTTTCCAACATCTCCTAATATTTGAGAAGTTCTGGCTTCTTGAAATAAATATTTGAGCACTTACAAATGAAATGTTATTTCAACATATAATGTTGCTCTTTATTATAAAAATCTAGTTTAATGTTCCCCATGATCACCCATGTTTACACTGCCTCGCTGGTATGAATACAATGAATTCTACTAAACACCGCGTAACAGGTTCTTCAGCTCAGATCCATGAACCTTTTTTTAAAAAATAGTTTGATAACTATAATTGTTTTCCTTTGCAATCCTATGTATTTTATTTTATGCATTTAGAAGCATTATTTTGTGGAGAGAGGTCCATCTGCTTCACTAGTTTGCCAAAGAAGTCTATTACCCAAAAAAGTTTAAAGAAGGAAACAAATATTTAAGTACCCACTATATTCCAGGCATTGTACTAAGCTCTTTACAGTATTATATTAGTAATATCATCTCATCTGATCCTAACAACCTTAGGAGATAGGTGTTATTATTATTCCCATTTTACAATTAAGGAAACTGAGGCAGATAGAGGTTAAATAACTTACCGAGGGTAACTCATCTAGAAAGTGTCTGAGCTTGGATTTGATGTTAAGTCTTCCTAACTCCAGATCCAGCTCTCTATCCACCATGCCACCCAGCTGACTCTAAGAGCCCTTGCTATACACCTAATGTATTCATGAATCCCCATCCACTTTATAGTCAGTGTCCCTGAATATTGTGGTCAAATAGTATCTTTGCCACTCTGTCTTTATTTTTAGTATTTAAAAGCTTATGATTTCATTTGGTGTGGCTGTTCCCTCCACAGAGACTGGAACTTCTCCATGTCTACATATCTCAATAAATAGTCTTTGGGAACTACTGGGACCCCCTACAGTCAACCTAGCGATGGTCATCTCCAAACTTAACTAGGATAGCCATAGAATCATAGTTTTAGAGCTAGAAAGGACCTTAGAGGCCACTAAGTCCAATTCCCTCATGCTACTGATGAGGAAACTGAGACTGTAAGATTAAGTGATTCACCTAGGGGTGCTCAGCTAATTCAAGTATCTGAATAAGAATTCAAACTCAGTTCTTACAGACTCCAAATTCATCACTCTATGAGCTACTCCACTCAGATGTCAGACATATTAGACTCTCACTCAAAACCTTTCCAAGCAAGTAGGATCTGCCAGAGACTGAGCAATACTGGCATCCCCTTGAAGAACACAGGATCATCTTCATCCCATTATAAATAAAGGGTGATGAAGAAGGTTGATAAGAGACAACATGATAGAGTGGATGGAGTGCTGGACTTGGAACTGGGAAAACCTTGGTTCAAATCCTACCTCAGATAGTTACTAGTTGTGTGACTTACTTTCTGGGCCTCAATTTCTTCATCTTTAAAACTTGAGGGTTGGACTTAATTGACTCTAAGATTCCTTCCCTCTTTGTATTGATTATCCTATGACCTCTGCTCAACTTGATGAGTCCCTCAGCCAATATGATAAGTCTTTGGATGAGGACATTTGTTAGAAGAGGGCAGCTCCCATGGAGTTGGACCTATGTTCCAGATCCTTGCTAAGAAGACACAATAAATTCCTCCTTTTGGTTCCCAGTGACTAGGGCTGCAATTGACTGAGAGCCAAGGAGATGGAGTTTTATAAGTGTGGGGAAGGGGGACCTTTCACTCATCAGTCTGTAAGACTAAGTAATGAAGCAGCTCCATTACATTTAAACCTTTCCTTTTAGGATGTTTTCTCTCCCTTGGACTTTCATGTGTGCAACAAGCGACGAGTGGAGTGGATCTTACATTACCATGAAGTATCAGAATAGGACTTGAGCATGCACAGTAATTAAATTGTGCATATATGTGGGTATATGTATATACATGTATATATGTATACATATATGATCTATCAATTTAAATAATCTAAAAACTCGATATTTTTTCAAAATGTTAGATGATGGAGAGAAGGTAACACTGATTTAAAGGTGGAAGAAATTTTAAAGGTTATCGAATCTAACCTTCTCATTTCCTCATTTAAATGAGGAAATTGAGAAATAGAGAGATTAAGCGGCTTGTCCAAAGGCACACAGGTAATAAGTAGCAGAGCCAAAATTCTAACCCAGCTGCTGTAACTAAGGCAGGGTGATGAAGGCTTTGCTCCAGAGCACTGAAATTTATAGGATGCTGACAGTACTTCAAAATGGCAGCATCTGAATTTAGTGCCTAGTTAGCAAGAATAATTTGTTAAAATAGGAAGTTACAAAGTAACTCATTTTCCCCCATATCCCATGTTAGAGGGGGGCTTCCCAACTCAATCCCAAACTATTCTCTATCCCTACCCAGCCCCCATTCCACCCCACCCCACCCCAACTATGGCAGTCTTCTCAGTAGAGGCCTTTTAGTGTCTTGGAGTCTCCTCCTGCCCAAGGAGAGGCATACTTGGATCTGTTATTTAAAAAAAAAAAACTAGTTTCAGGGTACACATTTCAAGTTTTTGCCCTGTATACAGGTTCTTTATTTGTCCTCTTACTTATTTTCAAACCCCTGCTTCTCTGAGTCTAAAAACTCTTTCCACCATGCCATACCTAAACTGGATTTTTTATTTTTTGAAGGTTTGTTGATAGGTTTTTAGTTGAGTAGTGAGCTACCTACATGCATGTGTTAGAATTCATGACCTCAAGCCCAGTTCCAATGTGATTTCAGGTAATACACTGAGATCTCAAAAGGGCATCAGAAAGTTCAGTGTAGCAAATGCATTTTGATACACAGAATATAAAAGAAGTTGGAAGAGAAATAAATTACTGAAAAATCATCGGCAACATCCATTTCTGGATGTTTTTATAGAATAATTATATTTAGATAGAGGAAGAATCTATGTTATTGAGGTTTTTTTTAAAGGAAGTGAGTCTGACAATAACTCTCTGCTTAGTTCCTAAAGCACTCAAGACAGCAAAAGAGAAATGAGGCTGTAATTTGAAATTTCCTGTGATACTGTCAGGTTTTTACTGCATCATGCTTTATTGTGGTTGGATATCCTTTTATTTAGTCTGCCTACTACCTCTTGGCTACTTCTCTCAGCAAAGTTTCAATGACATCAAGCTATAACATTTTGATTTGACTAATAAAAGTTTGTCATTGTATTCTGTCTACAGTAATAGAAGCATTACCCAAAAAAAGTATTATCAAATGCTATTGTTTACTGAGTCAAAGAAAATGAAGGATGGGAGAGAGAGAGAGAGAGAGAGAGAGAGAGAGAGAGAGAGAGAGAGAGAGAGAGAGAGATGGTAGAGAGAAGAAATGAATATGCCCTTTTTCAATAAAAGTAACAAAAATGTTTACATCATTTTTTTGCTATTTCTAAAAATTCAGCAGGTACTTGTTACACAAATCTATTCAGATAAAAACACAATAATCCCAATGAAGGATAGAGAATTAAAAAATTAAAATATAGAGAGAATTAAAATGTTTGTAATAGGAGGATCATCTTAGCTGCTATCCCCATGCAAGTTAAGCTAGTTTCTCCTTGAAAGGTGATGAGAACATCTTTGAGACTGGGTTGGGTACTAAAAGCCCAAGATCTTGGCATCACTTCCTGGTTACCATGTTATGGACAGATTTAACTCAGCCTCTAGAGAAGGCATTCTTTACCCAGGATCTGTGAACGTGGTTGTTTTTATTTTTCATATGTAAATATTATATATCTAGATTCTAGATTATAAATCTATATCAACAGAATTGGTTTCTTTGGTAATCTTAGGCATTTTGTTTTATGCATTTGAAAACATCATTTTGAGAAGTGGTCCATAGACCACCAGACTGCCAAAGGGGTCCTTGACACACACAAAAAAGTTAAGAATCCCAGATCTAGAAAGAGTTTGATAGCAGTAGCAGGGCACCAAGCTAGAAGAACAGAAGTGGTAGACAGCTGGGCAAACATATATGCGAAAAGGATGGAATTGTATTAGGTTTGTGTCCTGAATAAGGGCCCAAGGTAAACTACGCCTCAATGTACTTTCTTCCTCTCCTCAAGGTCCAAGTCACCGTATACCTTGTGGATGACCAGGAGACAGGCAGCAGGCCACTCTGACCCACTGTCTTAAGACAAGCTATGGTGGTCTTCTTCCTGGGCAACAGCTTAGACTTCCATATATGTGAACACAATCCTATTACATGTCTATCTCTGTCTTTTTCCTTGTTTTTCTTTTTCTGCCATCTGTGCAGTTCAGGGTGTCCTAGGCCTAATACCTGGCATTCAGATTCTGGTAAACCTTAATATAATTCAATCCTTCTCATATATGTTTGCTTGGCCATTTCTTTAACTGTAAATTGGGAATAGTAGTACCTTGCAGAGTTATGAGGGTCAAATGAGATAATATGCATAAAGCACTTAGCATCGTACCTGGCATATAGTATGAATGCTGGCTATTATTTTTATTCATTTAGAGAGAATACTGGGAAATTATTGTGGTATACAACAGAGAGGCACCAATAAAATTTCAAAGTTGACAAGTAACTTATTGTTACTGCTAAGTAACAATAATATTCAACACATTCTTCTTATGTTAATAGTTATATTATTTAGCTAGGTTTATCTATCTTGCCTCTCCTAAATCACAAACTCCTACAGCCAGGACTGTGTCCTTTCAATGCTACATAGAGTTCTGTTCTTGTCCCTGTATAGTTTGTCAGACATACAGACATAAATAATATCTGAGAACGAAGACACTCCAGGTTCTAGACTCAAGGAAAATGTATCTGTGTATCCTTCCCAAGACCTAAGTCTAACGCATGTACAAAAGTCCCCTTCTTCCCACAATTTCAAAAGGGGTTGCTGAATATG